GCCATTCCAGCATTGATTTGTGTATCACGTAGTATTAAAATCCTTGCCCACGGACATTCAGCTTACTTTCTAGTTTGCGACGAAATGCTGTTGTTGTGATGTTAGCTATAGTAGCAGGAGAGTTGTGAGTGTCTCTGTCTGGAGCTGCTATGGCGGCATTGGGAAACCGTCCACTCCTCTTAGCTTCGCAGCAGTTTTCTAACCTACAACTTAGCTAACTTACATTACTTGCTGTGTCTTTGTTTGCTCTATATCATGCTGTTTGTCATGGTATTAAATTTCTCCAGAATCGCATACCCCACCTTTTCAGTTATGAACAAAACCCCGGGCAAGTACACAAAATAAACATATTTCTGACAATACTGAACTATTTGTATACGTTCTTCAGACAGAATGATGAAAGGAACCCTCACTGAGAAATAACACTGAGCATTAAAAGCTAGTCAAACATAAAATAATGTGGAAGCAGGACAAGATGAAATGCCACTATACAGTATGCGAAAGTGACGTTAACTAAATTCTCAATCTGTACTGTAACATTTTAAAGTCATTCTTGGCAGTCATCATGAACTGCAGCTCTCCCTGACTTCCTGGCAATTGATTAACAGATTTACAGGGTGATAATGTTAAGCTAGTTGGCAGGAGCTGGTGTTGAGTCACCTCCACTAAACATTAAGCTCTTCACTTCTGCTGCTTTGCCCTTTCCCTCACCACATCATGCTCCTTTTCCCCTATTGCTTTTCTGCCTGTTTGCTTATTCTCCCTGCTTCTTCCTTTTGATTCTCTCTACTCTCTCACCTCATCGTCCTGTTTTTCTCTTGCCTCGTACACAACGTTAACACCCATTCTTTTCTCTCATGTCCTTACATTTCCTCTACCTGTATCGTTCACCATCCTCTCATCTGTCTTTATCCATCTGTCCCATCCTCCTCTAGATCATCTTGTTCTCCCACTCTCAGTGCCAGGCTTTATCTAAATTTAGATGGGTAAAACCATCTTGGATCCCTATGTCTTAATCAAAGAGCTGCACCGACCTTCACAACACTCCAACTCCCAATTGGAAACAATAACCGTATGGTTACGGCTACATGGGTACGGCTCCAGCCCATCTTGTCTCAATATCTGGTTGCCGTCTGCGGTTTTCAGTTTGTCTTCTTTCTGTGTCCTTGGAGGAAGTTTGAAGAGGATGGAAAGTTGAAGGTGAAAGAGAGATGAAAACAATCACATCCAATCTGTACTTATTCATTCATGTGTGAGCTTGTATTTGGTAGAAAAATGTTATGTGGGAAGAGAGTTGTCATTTCCTTCCGAGGTACTTCATGCTTTTCGCCTGAGTATATGTGTGGCATCAACACTGTCACAATCTCATCTCTGTGGTTGTTGCAGCGTGTCAACTTTTTGGTACCCATGCACATGTGATCCTAGAAAACGATCCTTGTAAGATGGTGATGAGAGCGAATGACTCCCCTGCTTTTATGAATCATCCATGCTGCTGTTTGCAGAACTCAACACAGCAGACAGACCGAAATACACACAGGGACATTTATCTGAAGGCTTGCAGTAGGAAAGATGGTTATATAAAGATGCATCTATTTTGTTAGTGTTAATCAAAAGGCAAGGCTGCAAGAGAAGATTATATCATTCCTGCTAATGTATACTATGTATACTATGGATTTACACAATAAATTACATTTTGGATGGGTGTGATAGTACTGGTGAGACGACAAAAGAACACAATTCTTATACAGAATATTCTGCCCAGAGCTGTAACTAATGATTATTGTCAGTATCAATTAATGTGTTCATTAATTTTAATCATGCTAGTAGTGTGGCACTATGGATGGCAATGTCAGTCTGTCATTGATTTTTATTGGATGGATTGTCATGAAATTTATTTCGTTAAAACATCCAATGGTCGTCCAATACATTGGTTTTTGAGGTACTTCAGGCATTAATGACATCCTCATCATTCTCAGCTGTACTACAATTTTTTTTATGCTGTGCCAACTGGCATGCATGATGTTTTTTTGTCTTTTCCCATCCCTCTGTATTCTTAGGAATAAAGTGATCTGTGCTACCTAGGAGGGTAAATACAGGCTCACTGTGTACAGACATCTGAAATGTATTGGTTTTATGGTGTTGTAGTCAGAGCTGCCAAAGTAGCTTTGTGTAGCTTTAAATGAACCAGGAGAACACTTGACTTGACTTCATGCCCTTTCAGTGTGATTGCTGTAGGACATGTCAGTAGGAAATACATTGGAATGACCACTTAACAGTAGTGAGTTAGATTAACATGTCTACTTTAACAGGGAGGTTATTCCAAATGACTTAAAGGGGGTAAATTACTTCTGCACAGTGGCTATAAGAAACACACTCACCAAGTGTTTTTGAGGGTGCAGTAAAAGCTTTAAGTGACCTTGTTTGTGATATGTTGAGAATGTCGGTGATGACTGGCACTGAAGTGGCTGGGGCTTACCGTGCGTATTTTGAGCTTTTCGTATCGGCGGCCATCTCCCCGGCTCTCAGTGCCTGCTCTCTCTGGTTTAACTGATGGAGCTGTCAAGCTGGAGAAACTCCTATCTCAAGTCCTCCCAGCTGGAATGGATGGGAGGGGTCATGTTGATAGCGCATTCTTGGTCACACACAAACTCACTCGCATCTGTACTGTGTCCGTCATCATGTCTGAGGATTAACTGGATTTCTGTCGAGTTGGGAATGTAACTCACTAATGTCAGCAAACCTTAGCCATAGAAAGAACACTGACATCTCTGTATGTTGTTTTTTTTCATTGGCCTTCTTCCATGTGTCTGTTTCTTTCTCTCCTTCCAGATATTAAAATCATCTGTTTTGATGCTATTTCTTTCATTTTTTGTGAGTGGCAGTTTCATATAAGCATAAATTATTTGCCCTGTCAAAACATTTTTGTTGCCTTTTTATGGTGGGGTACATGCCACTGAGATGTGTAAGCAGGTGTGTCATTTCTCCAAAATGTATGGTTCACACTGTTTAGACCGAGTGAAACACAGCGGCTCATGCCTTATTTAACCTGACTTTGCTGCTGTGACATTCCCTATCTTCTTTGTCCATCTCCCTCTTTCTTTTTGTCTCACTGTGTTTGGAGAGAGGTGGCTTGTCAGCTGCATGTTTTAATATGCGGGCTGTGATCTTCTCTGAAGCCCAAATTTAGCATAAACCCTCCTGTTAAGCCAGGCGAAGACATTCACAAGAGGAGCGTCACAGAGGAATGTTAGAGCACTTGGCGCAATGTGAAATGAGGTATTTACGTCAGAGTGGAGGATGGTGGAAAACATGCTGAGTGTTACCTCTTCTAAGAGTCACAGTACACATGTGTGGAATTGGTGTTTGAGGCGGATGAGTGTTTGTGTGGTTCCCATAATGCACGTTCTGGTGTTGTGTCCCTACATTGGATAGGCGGGTGTATGCATTTCCACTGTTCATAGCTATAATCTTTTTTTCCTCTCAAAATCCCAACATGTTCATTGTTTATCATCACTTTTATTTCTAGTTACTGCAAAGCATATTACAGCCCAATAGTAGCTGCAGCTCTTGAATTATAGCTCCCAGCAGGGCCTTCAGACTAGGTATGTTCCTCTAGAGCCATTATGTTTAAGTGAGTACCTGGAAACATTCAACAATAATAAAATAGCCATGGCAGGACAGATTTAGCACAGTCCTGAGAAGACCGATTAGAACAGCTGTGCCAGCAATGTGTTTGTTTCTTGTTCCACTGCAAGATGTGGGACAACATCCCAGGTGATTTTAAGGAGGAAATTATGGTCAAATTATTGTACTTACAGAATAAACAGCACTGAAAACATTCTTTAAATTGGCCTGTGCTGGGCTTCAGTGTTCGAATAGATGTGTAATTGGAACTAAATTAGATGTTCAGGGAGCACAAAATCTTGGGAAAAGCAATTGTGGTTCACTGACTCACACGATAGTTTTTGTACCTATTTTTAGCCTTGTTTGTAAGCGATTGAATTTATAGGGTGTTAAAAACAGGTGTACTATTGTCATGTTTAAAGCATGCATGTACATATGCACATCGAGTTATACAATCATAAAAACTCAAACACCCATTCAAACACACTCTCTCTGCTAGGTCTAGTACAGTTCATGAAATGTCTGCACAGGCCACCCAATCCTTTCTGACATGCCTTGGTAAACCCCTGTCCCATTACCATGCATTATACATGGGCCTATCTCTTAAGTTCCAGAAATGTAAAAGTTTCCCTTGAAACAGAAGAAGTTACACTTGTCACAGTGACGTTTCAACTACATAGAAAACATTTTGTTTCACATAACTGTGTTATCATTAAGAGAATGCATTTCCAATTATGATAACTTGTGGTCATTTGTCAGGTAATCAGAATCAGCTTTATTTGCCAGGTATGTGTACACATACAAAGAATATGACTCAGAATTGTACATTGCTCACGATGTGCTTACATATACAATAATACAATAATAAAATCAGACACATGCTACAGTATAGAGAACACATATATATACACAATCATAAACAAAAACAATATAGACTTATTGAGACAATAGTGCATTGAGCAGAGTGCAAAGGATGCGGGAGTAAATTATTATTATTATGTACATATCGGAAGGGGATGTTATATACAGGTACACATATACAGACATGCATATATGTGCACATGTACACAGTGCGATGGAGCATAGTGTAAAGGATGCTGGAATAAATAAGTATTATGTGCAGGTGTTATGTAATTGAGGTAGGTGGATTTGGTATACAGTATATACAATATGACAATATGAACAGCAGGTTCATATTAACAGGTGACTGATTAGAGTTAGTGGACACCACCTCGGTTCTTGCAATTCACGATACTGCATAGCAGATCTATGCCAGTAAATTATTTTCTAATTTAGTGGTGGAAATAAGATGGCATAAAAGAGTTTTTAGAATTCATATTTATAACTAACCATTTGTTCTTATCTTTGTCTTACAGAAAGAATGGCTTTGCCTCAACTGTCAGACCCAAAGAGCCATGTCAGGCCAGCTGGGAGACATGCCACCTCCAGCCACGGCTTCCCCAAAAAAGCTACCATCTGCTCCTGCTCCCTTCTCCACCCCTGTTCCTACTACTGTAGATAGCAAACCTGTAGTACAATCAGCAGACCCAACCCCACCACTTCCTGAGACCAAGGTAGTGCCCGCAACCATTCCCACACCTGGTGCACTCATTTCACCTTGTCATGATACCCCTCTATCCGTTAGTGATCCTCCTCCTGATTGCACCCTTCTGGAAACACAGTCAAAAGAACAAAAACAACAACTAGAAGCTGAACCAGTTTCTGAGCCTGTAATTAATCCTGAACAAGAAACTTCAATTTCAGAGAGTGTAGCCGAGAGTGTCCCTGCAATCCCAGCAGTTGAGAACAGCTCTGAGAAAATAGCAGAGGGCCATCCTCAACCTGAGACAGAGTCATCTGATGCTGATCAACAATCACAAAGTGCAACTGCCAGTGAAATCCAAGCAGTAGAGCAACAACAGAGTAGCTCTGAGAAAGCAGCAGAGGACCATTCTCTCCCTGTGGAAAGTGAGACGCAAAACGTATTGACTAATACAGGTTTAGACAAGACAGCAGTCCCTGCTGAGGTAGAAACAGAGCCAAGTCCCAAGATTACTCAGAGTGAGGCTGCAGCTCCCCTTACAGATAATGAGAAAGTGGAGCCTACTCCAGAAAAGCTTACAGAACTGACAACAAATTCAGCTGAGCCAGAGCCTGCCTTGATCACAGATGAAGTGTCACAGGAACTTCCTGTTCAGCTTGATCCAAAGCCAGATTCTACAGCTACAAATGTAAAAGAGGAGAAAATAACAGAACAGCCAAATGAGAAACCCCAGATAGATGAACCCCAACCTACTGCAGCAGGTCAAACTACATCAGATCCAGTAGATGCAGCGTTGAATGAGGAGCAAACAGGCATTACTATGAAACTTGAGTCTGACAGTGTAGAAAGTGATGTCAAGGGTGAAGTAACTGCAGAAATAAAGGTAATACCAGAACCAATAATAGAGAAGGCAGTAACCAGAGAAAGGGCTCCTCCTCTTGTTGAGGTTGTAGACAGTGTTGCTCCCGTGGTCTCTGCTGACAATGTTGAGGTCCCTAAACCTGATGAGACTGTTGCAGTTTCAAAGGAGGAAAGTCAAGCTAATAAAGTGGAAAACAAAACCATAGAAAAAGACGAGCCTACTCCACTTGACCCTGGAGATAAGTCACTTCCTGTTGCTCCAGTTGAAGGGGAAACCAAATCCCTGGAGAAAACAAAAGAGGAGAACACTGTTGAGAATAACATTTTTCAAAAATGTATTATTGAAGGGAAAATAGATAATCAGAAAATACCTGAGAGTGCTGATGTGGAAACAGAATCAATTGAGATGAAAACAATAATGGACACTGAAAAAGAAAGAGTTATTGAGAAGGCGGTAATTGAGAATAAATCATCTTATGGCGAACACTTTGAAGAAGAGCAAGTTCAGAAGAATGCAGCTGCAGAGAGGGTTTTTGGGGTAAAAGCTGATGAAGGGAAAGCGTTTGAAGAAGAGGCAACTGAGCAGGAAACAGTTGAGAGCGCAACTGACCACAAACCTCTTGAGGAGAAGGTTAACAAAGCAGAATCGACTTCAGCACCCTTCTCTACTGAAACAGAGAACAGTTGTCCTGCAGTAGAAAAGAAAGCATCAGAAACAGAAAAAGAGCCAGCTCCTACTTTCACTGAAGAAATCCCAGAAATCCCAAAAGAAGAGATACATACAGAGATAGAACGAGCAGCAAAGTATGAGTCATCACCTGCTGTGGAAAACCTTGTTGAGACAGTACCTTTGCCAGAGACGTCAGAGGAGAAAGAAAAGCCTATGGTCAAAGCAGAGAGTTTAGCAAAGAAGGAAGAAAAGCAGACACCTATAGATACAATGCTAAAAGCAGATGATAAATCTGAGAAAGAAGTTGTTATGTCTGTTCCCCCAACTTCCGATTTTAGCGAGCAAGAAAAGGTCAATGTCAAGGAGTCGATGCAAAGTGTAGAGATAGTGTTATCCTCAGGTGTCATTAGTGAGACACAAGTCAGAGATAAAGCCTGTGAGGAGGAGAAGCTCATTCAGAATGAGACAGAAGCTGGTTCACAAAAGACAAACAGTACTGCTGAAAATCAACATGAAATAGAGAGAGAGATGTTAGCTCTGAGAGACACTGATGAGAAACAGCTCGAGAAAGTTGCAGAGCACAATGTGTCAATCAGTGGGAAGGAACTTGACAAAAAAGAGGTTGCTGGCAGCATCGAGGAACCTATTTCAGAATCAGAGACATGCACAGTCTGTGACAAAGATGGCACTCTGCGGTCTGATGTAGGAAATAGCACAACATCAAAGAAGAATGAAGTATCAGAGACAACTTTTGAAAATGTGTCTGTATCAGTAGCTTCAGTCCCTGTAGCAGAACCTGAAATCCAAGTCTCTGTAGTTAGTGAGCAGGACAAAGACCCAATAGAGAATATTAACGTGGAGGAAAAAACGGAGGCTAAAGATCAGCTTTTTGGAAAGCCCAGTAAAGAAGATGCAGTCGCTGAGGTGACCATAGTATTTAGCATAAGTAGTAGAAGATTATATTTATTATTATTTATTAATTATCTTTGTACATCATTTGTCCGACTAAAGATTGTACCATACTGAAAATTAAAATCCAAACACTGCAATATACAGTAGAATGTTTTGGTTACATGATTTGGCAAGTCATTTCAATTGCAATTCTGTACCATCTGTCAACTTAAGTGATTATCTAAACAGCATTTGAAAATACCTCAAATTACCATGCTGCTGTAAATGCTTAGTACTTAATCTTAATACAAACAAAATGACATTCTCACCACAGAAACTAAGAAGATTAAACCAAACTGTCTAAGTTTTGCTGCCACATGATGATTACTTTTTGATTTTATGTATTGTAAAAAATACACAGTTTTTATAACTAATATAACTTGTTATCCCTCAATACTGTAAATGCACCTATACATGGTGCACATGTAACAAGCTCAAAAATTGTAAATAAATATTTTTTTTCATTGCAGTATCCAAGGAAACAACTTAATGGTGTCTTATTTTAATCCAACAGATGAAAACAGCAGAGAGCTTGAGAGAGCCTGGAGAGAACGAAATAGCTGCCAAAGAGGGCAGTCCCACCAGCCCATCAGACCTAGCAAAATTAGAAAGCACATTCCTTCCCATTCTTGAGGCCCAGACAAGCACGCAACCAAAGAATGAGGAGAAACTAACAGACACTCTAAAGACCAGACGTAAATTAGAGGTGCTTCCTCTCTCACTTGACTCACCTAGCTCAGAAGATGACAGAGAACTTTGTGAGAAGAATACTAAAGGTACCACAAAGAAAAAGCTCCTTGTACCCATGGATGTCAGAGCAGATTCCCTGGATGATAGCAGTGAAAGCTTTGGAAAAGAAAGTCCAATGTCAGGGGATGATGAGGAATTTATCCGAAAACAGATCATGGAAATGAGTGAGAATGAGGATGCTTCCCCGTCTGATGAGGAAAATATAATCCGGCGAAAGATCAGAGAGGATGAGAAGAAACAAATCGAAGAGAAGAAAACAGAGGCTGTAGAGAGGGGTACATCCGGAAAAGCCAGACGACTTACCAAGAAAAGCGCTATAAGTCCAGATGATGAAGAAGAGAAGCAACTCCGCAGCTCATTGGATAAACCTGATATAGACAAAGAGGACGGACCAGAACCAAAAGAAGAGGAGTGTCAGACTGGTTCTGCAGTTCGCAAATTCCGAACTATGGAGCTGAATACAACCAGCAGCCCTGTGCGTATACCTAATGATGATGGTGAGCCCGAAATGGAAAGCCTTACAGACTCTCCAGATGATCGATCTAGAGGTGAGGGGTCATCTAGTTTACACGCATCGAGCTTCACTCCTGGGACTTCACCAACATCCCTCTCATCACTGGATGAAGACAGTGACAGTAGTCCCAGTCATGTCTGTTCTGGTGAGGGAAAACAACATAGGAAAGCCAAACACAGACAACCTGGTCAAATGCTGCCAACTATTGAAGATTCTTCTGAGGAAGAAGAATTACGGGAAGAGGAGGAGCTGCTCAGGGAGCAAGAAAAACAGAGGGGCTCAGGGAAAAAATCCAAGAAAGACAAAGAAGAGATTCGAGCCCAGAGAAGGCGAGAGCGTCCAAAGACACCACCAAGTAATCTGTCCCCCATTGAAGATGCCTCACCAACCGAGGAACTGAGGCAAGAGGCTGAAATGGAGGAGATCAGACGATCATCCTGTTCTGATTTCTCCCCCAGTATTGAATCAGACCCTGAAGGGTTTGAAATCCATGCCGCAAAGATCGCAGCAGTTCAAAAAACTTATCAACTGCCTATGTCAGTAACTCTTCACTCCCCAACAGATGATAAAAATACTGATAACCAACAGAAAAAAACTCTCAAATCTGCTGACGAGGCATATGAGGAAATAATGCTGAGGGCTACGTCTCCAACAGTTGATAAAAGTGAGATTCAGTTGGGAAAAGAGTCCCTTTATGGAGGCATGCTCATTGAAGACTATGCCTATGCATCTCTTATTGACAATTCAACAACTGATCTTGGGGAGCCACAGAAGATTGGTGTTCCTGCACAGCCCAAAAAGCTCAGATCACCAGATGAAGTTTATGAAGATATGATAAAGAAGAGGAAAGAATTTATGCAGCTGGAGCAGGAGTATCAAAATATGCAGCCAGCAAAGGAAAGCACTACCCCAGAAATTGTATTGCAACCTGCTGAGAATATCTTCCCCAAAAGCAGTACAGTAACGTTAGGCAAAGACGGGAAGCCATTGTTAGATGCTGAAACTGCCTATGAAGAGCTAATGAAAAGAGTGCTGACTCCTGGAACAAGTCCAACTCCAGAAGTGGAAGCCACTGCAACTAGAAGGGCACTCCACCCCATCCCAGACTTAAAGGTGACACAATGCTCTTCAGGAGAGTTGTCTTCTGATGACGAGAGTGTAATTAAAAAGCAAGAGGAGATGACTGTGGTATCAGACACTACAACAGCTACTGAAACTGAGCCTGTGACAATGTTTTCTGAGTCTCCTCCATCATCCACATCAGATCAGCAACCTCACACTACAATCACAGCATCCCAGGCTGATGTTGTGGACTTATCTAGTGCTCTCCCAAGAACATCAGCCCATGTGACTGCCAGTGTTACACCCTTGCCCACGGTCCCCCAGTACACACCCAGTATTCCTAGTGTAGTGTCAACTGCCCCACCTGTCCCCCCCAAGCCAAGCGTTCTGCGTAGGGCTAATTCTCAGGAAAAAGCAGAAGTACCTGTTGCACCACCACTGCCTCCTCCCACCCCACCAAAACCTACTGTTTTTCCCAGGAAACCTCCAGTTCCACTTCCACCTCAGGCTTCAGCCACTCTAACCAAGCCAGAGACAGTGGCTATGACTGCAGCCCAAGGACCATCCACAAGACAAGCAGTTACACCAATGTACAAACCTCATGTTCCCCCTCCTGTTCCCCCCAAACCATCTATTCCTGCTGGGATTGGGGATAGCAACAGACCAGGACATGGTGTCAAACCACCAATTGCACCAAAGCCTGGCTCACAGCCTTCTTCGCCCGCCCATGCCCCACATCCACCAAGACCCACTGTACTTCCCACTGGTCCTACTGACATAGCCCTGAATCTGAGCCCTTCTTCTGAGAGCAAGCTGTTTCAACCCTCACCAAAGTCTCCTTCTTCTCCAAGATATGCCAGCAATCTTCGTGACACATATGTGGTCATCACACTGCCATCGCAGCCCAGCTCTCCAGTAGATAGTGTCTTAACTCAAGCTCCCTCTAGCCCTGGCTTAGCATCTCCTTCATGCCAAACTCAGCCCCAATGTTATTACCAACCACAGCCTCAACCTCAAGTACATCCACAGCAGCATCCACAACCAACCCTTCCTCAAACAACCAGGGTGCCACTGGCATACACACGTGTCACAGAATCCATTGAAAGTCAAGAGATTTGTAGCCCAGAAAAACATGTATCTAGTTCTTGTCACATAATTGAGGCTATATCTGCGTCAGCACAGCCACCTGTGGTTATGCCTAACCTCATCTCTCAAGTGGTCACTACAGAAGTCCAAAGGACCATGGTCTCTGTTGTTCATGAAAGGGCACCACCACCAGTGCCAGCTCCAAGGGCAAATGGTGTCCCAATCTCGATGGAGAAACCTAAGACCCAACTGCCGGCACAGAATGGACAGGGCTTCCAACCCTCTGAGGTGGTAGATCTTAGGACTATGAAGGTGGACCTAGAATCAGACATGAATGGTGTGGATCTGTCTGCTGGCCCAGACTCAAGACGTCAGTCCTTTGCAACTGATGTCAGTCGTCAGAACAGTGCAGTGCAATCGCCTGTGGTTAACCTTAGTGCTGAATCATCCACTGTTTCTATAGTGACTGATAGCATCACCATTGTGACCTGTTCTGCCACAATCCAGCAGTGTGAAAACATAGAAACCTCTCAAGCATCATCAGTGCCCCTTCAGCTCACAAAAAACAAAGCATTTGAACCCGTTTCTCAAATTATATATCGGCCAATTGATTCTCAGCCCTGCACTCATGTAGGTACAGAGATCCCTATTAACCTCTCACTTGGATCAAGCACAGGTGGAGTAACTTTCCAAACCACCCCTGTCACTATTGCACCCACTTCTATTGGTTGTGTTGCCAATGGATTAACTACCGGTACAACCACAGTGGCAGGAGCTGTTGACCTTAGTACAACAAAACCATTCAACACTGTGGTATCAGTGGATGCTGCTTCTGCAGAAGTGGCCACAGCTGTAATCACAGATGATGATGGCAAACCAGTGGATCTGACAGCAGGAAAAAGAGCTGTGTGCTGTGATGTAGTGTACAATCTCCCATTTGCAAGAAGCTGCACTACTCAACAACCTACCACACCCCTGCCTGAAGACCGTTTCGGATATCGTGATGACCATTACCAGTATGACAGATCACCTTATGGCATGAGAGGGTTTGGTGGAATTAAACCATCAATGTCAGACACTAACTTAGCAGAAGCTGGTCTGTTCTTTTACAAGAGTAAGAACAGCTATAATTTCAGTGGCACCACTGAGGGTGCAGTAGATCTTACCTCTACGAAGATTTCTGATGCAGGTCAGTGGAGTGACATTGCAGACCTGTCGCTTAAATGTCACTTTGAACTGCCTCCACTCATTCATGGCTAACGTGACATTTTTTTGATTTGTTTTTACCCTCTCTTTTTGTTTTGCATGGACAATTAATTACTTTGTTTTTTGTTCATTCATAATATTTTTGCATGTGCATGCATGCTCTTACTGTACATCTTTAAATGCTATTTCACATCTCGACATTTGAGGGTTTTCCCCTTTTCCACATTTTTCATAATTTGGATAAGGCATGGCTTGCTTCAACATTGAATAAGTCTGCATTATTTGGACTCAACTAATATTTTTGACTTTTGACAGGTGAAGCTGTTGACTACTCCAAGAAAGGGACTTACGCAGGAATGACAATTCCACCATATTCCCAAGCCAGAGTCACAAGTGCTGTTGGTACACTTTTTGGTACAAGCAGTGTCTTGAGGTCATCAAATGGGGTGGTGTATTCCTCTGTTGCAGCACCAATACCATCTACTTATGCCATTACCACCCAACCTGGGTCCATCTTTAGTACGACATACAACACCCTGTCAGGTATGCATACCAGCGACACAATGCCTTCATTGTCCAACCTCCAGAACTTGCCACTTACACGGTCCCACAGTTTCCTTTCCACCATCTCCACTACTGCAATAGAAGAGCAAGGGGATGCCCCACTCAATCTGGAGATCTCTAGAGGGGATACTACTGCTGCCCGTGCTGTCACCACAGCAACAACCTCTTTATCCCTTGACACCTACACTGATGCATCCTTGGAGGCAATAGCTGCTTCTCTTGAGGCTCTGTCTTCACCCATGGTTCCTGGGGATGGCCAGTATCAGGCAGAGCGTGAGAGGCTAGAGATGGAGAAACTCAAGCAACAACGCCTGGCTGAGGAATTAGAGTGGGAGCGCCAGGAGATTCAGCGGTTCCGTGAGCAAGAACAGCTCCTGGTACAGAAGGAACTGGAGGAGCTGCAGGCTATGAAGCAGCATATCCTGTCCCAACAAGAAGAAGAAAGACAGGCTCATCTTATGATGCAGAAAGAAACCTATGCCCAGCAACAGCAGCAGCTTGAGCAGATTCAGAGACTCCAAGAGCAACTGCGCCTGCAACTGGAAGAGCAAAAGCTTCGTCAGATGTACCCAGGTGGGGACATACCAGGGCATGGTTTGCAGGAGGCAATTGTCTTAGGACCTGATGGCACAGTGCTGGCCCGAAAGATCACAGATAGTGGGTGCCAGACAGATGAAGAGGATGAGGCAGTCAGCAAAGCTTACACAGCAGGGAGAAAAAAGAAAACTGCTAAAAAGAGTGTTGACAGTTGTGTGCAGACTGATGATGAGGATCAAGAGGAATGGGAAGCTCAGACCAGAAACCGACAAAGCCGGCCACGCACTGCCAGGGGTGATAGGGGTGGGCATTCAGAAATGTCTCTTCAAGCCCACACTGAGATTTCTATTCAAACAGATACAGAGGGGAACATTAGAATGGACACCAGGATGGAGCTGTCTGACTCTGAAAGGACATCACCAAAGAAACGGCCTACCCCCTTAGAAATAGGCCAGCCTCCTAACCTCAAAGTTGATTCCTCTACGCTTCAAGCACCTCCTAAATCTCCCAAAGTGCTCTATTCCCCCATATCCCCCTGTGTATCTCCTAGCAAATCCCTTGAGTTTGTGTCCTATGAGAACTCACTGGGTGATACAAGCCCACAAAAGCTAAGAGGAAGCGAGGATCCATCGAAAGCCTCTCCAGCAAGTCCCAGGGGACCAAAAGCCATGCAGAGATCCATGTCTGACCCTAAGCCCATGAGTCCAACAGGAGAAGAAAGGGCCACATCTGGTACCCAGTATGGTGATAGCTATACTGTGAGTACTATAAGTATCACTTTAATTGAAATATAAGAATGAACAAATACACAAAAGTTGGTTTATTTTAACTGTGCAAAGAGGAGGATGTTATTTGAGTTTAAACTGTTCTTTTGGTCATTAATGTGCTAAACGAATTTAGATGTTTCTGGAGATAGGAGGGTATTTCCAACTTGAGCCCATTCAATGATAAAATATGGTAATAGATCCAATCCAGTTTTTCTTAGCTTTGATTTAATGAACTTTATATTTAACAATAGTTTTATTCAGCTTGTCATATAATTTACTGTGATCCACTTTAAACTCACCTTACACCTTGTATAAATTCAGTTTGTATATATTTTCCTGTAATTTAATGCAGCCCAAGAATTACTGCTGCCTGAAAAACTAACTATAAGTCAAGTGTCTTGCAACACCAACAAAACCATCCTTTGTCAGGTCATACTCATGTAGCACAAGTAACATGATGGTTCATTGGTTAGCATTCCTCTCCAACAGCAAGAGATTGCATGTTCTCTTCATGTTTGCATTAGGGAAACTTGCACACCATAGTTGTATGACATGCAGTGTTGGGCAGTAACGCATTACTGTAATATTATTACTTGAGGGTAGTGAAAGTAATATGGTAACGTAAAGAGTAACATAACTAGTTATGTTATTTTAGTAAAATTATAACTTTTTTTAAGGAGTAATAAGTAATTAGTGCCTTATTACAATTTCTGGGTAACTTGCCCAACACTGATGACATGTATGTTATGTACTGGAAATACTACCCTCCATTTCGACACCTTAATTCTCTAAACAGGTGGATGGCTCAAATGCTGATGGGGAATCTAAAAAATAACTATTTAATAGATTGAAGGTCTGCTTTGTGTAGTAATAGAGTATTTCTCTGAGCCTTCATATAGGTACAATACTTCCTGTACAGTGGTGTGACCTTAGCCTCTGGGGTGTGCCAAACCCTGCATTCTGACTATAGAGACATTAGCAAAGTTACCCAATGCAGACTTGAATGTTGCTATCAAGGTGTATGATACATATAAGCTTAAATTCTCCAGCATGCATTTATGCCATTTTCATAACACATACTGTATTGTGTTATGAAAACATTCCAGGGAATGTATAAAACTCTAACTTTATAATTGTAATTTAATTGTGGTTTGTGGACATACAGAGGGAAACATACATAAAAGGGAAAAAAAGAAATAACTGAATAGATTATGCATATACACATCCTATGTTGCTCCTGGCACTCATGGAGTATGGAAGTCAGTTTTCTGCCTGGGCAAACCACTCTTGAGAATTGTATACATACATACATAAAAGGATGGGAAATAAGCTGAGCTTGCAGGAAAATATTGAGCTGTCAGATATCCATAGATGCTCAATGTGAATAAATTACTTCTTTTGAAAATACACTTAGGAGTGTACAATTTAGTGAGTAGTGGGTAACATTTATGAGCAGGAATACATACCCTACTGGGATGCGCAAAAGGTGATCAATAAATTGTGTTTTCCAATAACCGTCCATACGTACATATCCAAAGTAGGTTAAAATCAAGGGCAACTGGACTCGTTTGAAGATACTAGAAGACGTTTCGTCCCTCATCCAAGAGACTTCTTCAGTTCTGAAATGACTAGTAGGGAAACTCAGCTATTTAACCTCTGTTGGTCGTTTGTCAAGCTCATCGATACCGCTGGTTCGTTAGTGCTCCTGGCTGTTGTAACAACAGTCGTTAGAACCACCTGTGGCCAAGTCTGAACGACCATTGTTGGTATCTTCACCTGAGGCCAAGAGGTCACGCTTGTTAAGTTTCCTGGTAAGTGATGAAAGGACAGCATTGTAAGTGGGGGATAAGTGGTAGTGTAGGCCCCCTCCTCTAGTCAGCGACAGCTTCTCAAAGCGGGTGTAAATGGCTTTCTGGACACCTCTTTCAAACCTACATCCATCATAGGTGGTTCTAACGACTATAACAACTGTCGTTACAACAGCCAAGAGCACTAACGAACTAGCAGTATCGATGATCTTGGCAAACGACCCCACAGAGGTTAAATAGCTGAGTTTCCCTACTAGTCATTTCAGAACTGAAGAAGTCTCTTTGGTTGAGGAACAAAATGACTTCTAGTATCTTCAAACAATTCCAGTTGCCCTTGATTTTAACCTTCTTTGGATAACTAAGACCTCGATGACTGAAAATCATCACAGACAACCCATCATACACTGAAATTCCCTAATGTACATGCCCTTATTTATAGTCCTGACTTTATACTAACGCAACAGAGATGCCCTTTTCCCCTATTTAAATGTAATAGCATATTGTAATTGAAATCATGAAAAATTCTGCAATTATCTCAAGTAAATTTTATCTGCATAATACAGTTCAGAGAGAGAAATTTTTTAAACCATCTCACTCATTTTGGGGGGTTAAGAAAACAGTTTGAATTCCTACAGCCCTAATCAATTTTTTGTTTATTTTTCATACAGGGGAAAGGTTCAGGTGGCACCCCAACAGGCACTCAAAAGAAGGTGAAGAGGACTCTCCCCAATCCACCGTCAGAGGATGAGTCATCAACCAGTGGCCAAACAGCATACAGCACTGGTTCTGCCCGCCGAAGAATGTGCCGCAACTCCAATATGGCACGTGCCAAGATCCTACAAGACATTGATCGTGAGCTAGATATGGTGGAGCGTGAGTCTTCCAAACTCCGCAAAAGACAAGCAGAGCTAGATGAGGAGGAGAAAGAGATTGATGCAAAGCTTAGGTACTTGGAGATGGGCATTAATCGTAGAAAGGATGTGCTACTGAAGGAGAGAGAGAAGAGGGAAAGGGCCTACTTACAGAGTGTTGCAGAGGACAGAGACTACATGTCAGACAGTGAGGTTAGTAACATCCGAGAGACTAGAGGTGGCCGTGGAAGTGGTGAAGATGAGGAGATTGAAGGTCATGGTCTTGAACGTCCCAGGACAGCTCCCCAGTCAGAATTGGAGGACTTTGTCCCGCCTCAAACCAAGCATGAGTATGGAAAATACTCCCAATACCAATACCCTCAAAGCCAATACCAGCAGTCTCTCTACCAGACTCCACAGTCTTACCAATCTCATTCTATCTACTCCTCTGTCCCCTCGCTCACTAGCGCCCAGCAGCAGAGTTATCACCAGATGCTCCTGTTGCAGCAAAAAGCTGCCAGACAAGCTGCCCTCCTCTCAGAACTGGATGCAACTAAATACGAAATCATTAGCCGCCAACCTGATCCTACATCATCAGCTTACATGGGAGTCAAGTATGACAAATATGGCAACCACCTTGACCTCAGAGCCTTGGACGTGGGCAGTATAGCACGTAGCCCCATGTCAACTGTCTCTGATTCCTATTACACAGATGTAGATCACCATACACCTCGGAGTTACATGTTACTGGAAGATGCTGCAGAACTGGCTAAGGGCTCCACAGGCCTGTCTTCATCTTATAGTCTGGCTGAGAGGGAGCTGGCTAAGGCAGAGAAGCTTCTGCGCAGGAGTGCTGCAGATCTGTGTTCTACTGACTATCTGGGATCCACCTCTAGACTCCATACATTTGGAAAGACCCCTGATGAAGAGGATACAATGGAGGAACCCTACGAACTAAAACTTCTGAAGCAGCAGCTCAAGCAAGAGTTTAGGAGAAGTACAGGAGGGACAGAAAACTTAGAACAACTCACAGGTCTCTCCCAGCACTACTATACCCCAAGCTCTGGCATCTCTAGTTACTCCCAAAGACAATATCCAAAGACAGATAAGTACAGCATCAGTCGTCTTACTCTGGAGAAGCAGGCAGCTAAACAACTCCCAGCATCCATGTTGTACCAAAAACACAAGGCTCCATTGTTAGATCCTAAGATCTCCTCCAAGTATTCCTCTATTACAGATAACAGAGGTTTGGAGACAGACTATACCAGCTATCTTGGGTCTACCAGTGTATCCCCAAGATCCAGCCGGCTTTCGCAGGATGAGATTACCTTCGGCCTTCGTAAGAATATTGCAGAGCAGCAAAAATACCTGGGGTCCACCTTGGGTGCCAACTTGGCTGGGTCACTAAACTTGGGCCAAAGCTTAGGTTTGGACACTGCCTATCCTAGTGGTAGTCGTTCAAGACCCTCATCCAGGCCCACATCTTGCTATGGTCTGGACTTGTCAATCAAAAGAGACCCTTCCAGCTCTTCACTGAGGCTTAAAGGAGACGGAGAAGCATCTGGAGATGGACCAAGCTATCAAACCCCATCTGGTCGCACCAAACCCACCAGCCTTCCCATTGTGCAAAGTGGCCGTGGCCGGATACCCATAGTGGCCCAGAACTCGGAGGAAGAGAGTCCATTGAGCCCTGTTGGGCAGCCTATGGGCATGGCCCGTGCATCAGCTGGACCTCTGCCACCCATCTCAGCTGATTCAAGGGACCAGTTTGGTTCCTGCCTGTCTTTGCAGGACTCCCAGCAGCAGCAACATATCAGGGAAGAGCCGACCAGGGGTAGGGGTTATGTGCTGCTGGATGACCTTCAGGGCACCATGTCAGATAGTGAAGGTAAAAATCAGACATGTCAAAATGTCACTATTTTCCTTCAAAATGTTTCCTCCTTGAGAGTGTCTGATTATAGTTTATCTTGCTTGCATTTAGTACCATCATGTATGTTTTTCAGCTGTTGTGTATTTATTGAAAGTCTGCATGTGTCTGTAGCTTTTCTCGTGTTTTCATGTTTAACCTTCACTTTGGTCAGTGTATCTTCTTTTTGTTTTGTGGTGTCAGTTCTTTTGGTCAATCAGTTGAAATCAGGTGTGCATGTACATTTTGCTAGATTTCTTATAGGGTGTGCTTGAATGCTACCTTTATGCATGCCTGTATTTCTGTCTGCATTCCAAATATTGTGTAACATTTTCCTGCATGACACTGTACAGTCTAACTTTCTGTAACAGCTATATTTTTTGTACGTTTCCCCTCCTCAATAAGCAATTGCTCAGTCTCCATTTCATTTAAGGCATACTGTCATTTGTAGCTGTCTCCACTCGAGGCTTGAGCCACAATACCAGAATTATCCTGAAAATGTAGGTCAGATTTAGAAAACTTTTCCCCCCAGAAAAATGATACACTGAAAAAGTGCCTCCCACACTTGCGACATTTACATAATTGGTACAGAAGGTCAGTTGAACCAGTTCTTTTACAATTTCTCCTCATTGACAGTATATTTTAATAAGCTGTTAATATCAAATCAATAGTATATGGTAATAAATATAGTATAGTATATATTATATTTTGGATTCTACAATAGTTGATGTATAATGTAGATAGTGGATAATATTGGTGTATTTTATAATCATTTAAGTGTAGAAATATATTTGTGCGTTAAATTATTATACCAATTACCGGCAACTTCAAATATTACCAATTTATATGACATCATTAGAAAAAAATGTTTAAAGCAGGATAATGTTGTCACAGTAGGGGACCTTGATTATATTTTTTGAAAGGCATGATATTTGGTTGCAACTCTGTGTAATAAATATAACTTTAACTTGCATGTCTTGTCATGAATACTTGCTTGTATGTATTGTGATACATCAGTGGCTCTATGTTGCATGGACAACATTTATGGCTATTAAGCTTGCTATACAGTTTCTTTATATTGCATTTCTCTCTTTATATTGCAAGGTCTCTTATTGCCTCACTTTAATCAAAATGAACACTCTCTATTAGTATGGCCCATTATTTTTTCTATTTTTGATTATAAATAGGAAATTATCTGATAATCAGTAATGCAAGAATACTACTGATAATCAGATTATTTAAATACATTTGCTGAGCAAATATTTGGTTCACATTTTTTCCCCTTTATACTTTTTATTCCTGAAAGCATACTGTATTTTGAGCTAGAGGTGTCAAGAGGAAATTTAAAATGTGTTGAGCAGTGTCCTATTCCAACAGGAAAGATAATAAATTTAAGCAAGAACTTAACATCTGGGTAAATCTAAAGTTAAAGTAAAGTTTACTGCAATCTCCTCTTCTATAATGTTTGGATATATTTTGCTTTCTAAAAGCCAGAAATCATCAATTCAAGTAATATATTGTCGATGCCTACTCTGTCGTGACTAAAACCATTTTATCACACTAATTCATGTGTTTTTATAGAGTACTCCAATAAAGCAGCAATGACTTGGTCAGTTTCCAAACTGAGGATAGTGTTTTCATTAAAAGGGATGCTAAATGTGACTGTTATAGTAAATTCACATCCTAATAGAGGTACCATTGTTTATCTTTCTGGTTTAAACATTTAAAGATCCCACTTCTGAGTTGTCTTGAATGCCACATAACTACTTGTTAATAAATTCATATGGATCCCATTATTTTGCAATATAAACCCATTTGCCTTGATTCCAGCCCTAAGTGATTCCCTGATGGCTTTGAACAGAGACGATGCAACCAATGGTAGAGTATTAGTTCAGTTCTCTAGTCATCCATTAGCTAACATATTAACCTGCACCACAAATCAAATGCACTTCACCATAAAATGATGATGTAATATTGGGGAGGTTTAAGACACTGGTAAAATGGCAATTAAATGCCACTTTAAATTTCCATGATTTTACATTGCAAAAATGTCAAGACAAACATACTGTACTGTATATTTTAGAAGAAAAAACATTCACTTTCCTGGAGTTAGAGAACAATGTGAAATATGTACATACCCAACATTTACATTCATATAAAATCACTGCACTATAGGTTAGGTTTAGATTATACTACTATACATACTGTACTAATACTGTTTATTCACTCTCAAACTGCATTCTGTCCTGCTTATTTTATAATACATGTAAAGGATGTTGTGTTGCTTGGTATTCTTTCCCCTTTTCATATGATAATGACCCTTCAATTCCTCATATTTTCATCTCAGTTTTTCTTAATTTCATGTAATCATCTTTAGATGAACTGACAAAATCCATTCTATACAGTAGGATGAAAAAAAAGTTCAGGTTCTCAGATTCTGAAGTGGTGCTTATTTTTATCCCTGAAGCCTACCATCTTAGACGAGAAGAGACGGACTGGTTTGACAAACCTAGAGATGGACGGTCAGAAAATGGACAAGAGAAGAGACAGGTGAAGCAGGGAAAAAAAACTTACACACACATACTGTGGATGCAGACGCTGTCGTACAATTCTCACATGTACTGTAAGCCAAGTCCAAGCACTAATGAAATGCATGCACCCACACTCAAATATCTGGATCTCTATATGTTATATGTAAGCTCATATTAATGCAAGACACTTAAATGTAGCATATATATCCATGTTGCAAAGAACCCATACCTGACTGTTTCCCATTTACCACACATGACATCTCACCATTGTGTATGGGCCACAGGGAAAAGGCCCGTACTACCCCTTCCCTCACCTCAGGGTCAAACTGCAGAGGGATCCCAAAGACCGCAGCGTCTCAGGTAAAGGTTTACTACATTTCATTCAATGACACAGCAGCATGCTAAGGGTATGAATGATATGCATTCACAGAGGCATGTATTATAAGCTTATGTGTTATTGACTTTGATGCATGCATGTGATTTGATTGACCCCGTTGCCTACTGTCTGCATCAAATATGCACTGTTTATGGCATAGACATTGTTTTCCTTTAATTAAATTTGAATGATCATAAGAATAGATACAAATTATTTTAAAAGAATAAAGACAGTAGAATGTACACATTAATGTGGATCATAACGTCTCATTAGGTTAACAGAGCATAACTAGTATGCTTCATGCATTTTATTTACTTCCTATTCATGCCAGATTTCAAGAAACTGGCAAGTCACTTCCCCTGCCATTACGTTCCATCACACCATTCCTCCAGGCTCAAAACAGGCAGACATTTCATTTCCTGGCCTCCCTTTTGATTTGGCTCTTCTCCATGCTCATCAGTCATTGCCATGCTCAAAATGGCGTATCCCTCACCCTCAGGATTATCTCGCGCAATTAACAAACAGCCCACAAAGGAAGCATTTTGTTTGTGAGGACCTGTGCTGAACTGAGTCATTTTGTTCTCGCTTCCATAACCATGTTGAAGTCTTTCATACTGTAGAGGGAAGTTGTGGTTCTGTGTAGGTGAAGGCCTTTTTCTGTGTGACCTGTGGAGTGACAGATAATAGATCCATGTGATTTGCCAGTAGAGAGGTTGGCATGTATGCTGTTTTCTATACTGTTCTACAAAGGCATAGAGAAGAATCTACACAAGATGTTGAATTGAATGAATTTAAAAAAAATAGTTTTCAAAATGGGCAGCAAATAGTAACAGAAAGGTTGTAATACCTTAATTTTTCTGTTAAGGCTGTCTAAGTACCTACATAGCAGTCATTTAACCATTAATAATACCTAAAAAATGCCTTTGGACAAACCTCTGGGGAACAATATATAAACAAGATGTGTTCTTTGACCTTCCTTGTCCATTTGAACACATTTTTGTCTATTATTAATATTTACACTATATTAATAACTATTAATAAATGTATATATAATTGAATACATTTAATAAGTGATTTAAGTAGTTTAACCACACCTAATCATAAAAATTCCACTAGAGTCAAAGCTGAGATGACAATACTGCTGCTCTGCTAAGCTAGTTACCTTAAGCAGGAGTTTAGCTGAGTGTTTTTCCCATTATGATGGATTTAGATACTACCTCATTTAGTTATGAGGGATAATGGACTCAATTGCGCAGATATGTTTCAGTTATGGATAGGGAAAAATCAGCAAGTAAATGTAGTTGTAGCCTTTAAGCCTTTAGCGAAGGATGGGGAGATATCTCCACAGCAAGCTTTTACTTCAGAAATCTCTCATGCTTTAGTTGACCCTGTCTGTAACTTCTCTCTGTATCTTAACTCACTGTGTAGTTACTGCATTTGTAGGGCAGGATGCTTATGTCCATACTTTTTTGTCTGTGTTGGTAAGTTTGCATGTGTTTACTAAAAAGTCGATCAAATGCACTGAGACCACAGACTAATTAATAATGCCACTCACCAGTCTTTGTTTTTGGTCCTGAACAGGAAATGGTCTGGGCATACGTGTGGTTGGAGGGAAAGAGGTCCCTGGCTGTAATGGAGACATTGGAGCCTATGTTGCCAAAGTCCTACCTGGTGGAGCTGCAGAACAAACAGGAAAGATTCTTGAAGGTACGCTCTTCTTCAAGCCCTTCCATAAAATTAAACTTCCCTTTGTGGAAAAACAGAAATATTACAATTAACTTAATTTGTAGGTGTAAACAATATTAACAAGTTTATATGGGTAATGGGATTTGTTAAAGTGAGATAAGAAGATTGACACCACTCTCATGTCTATCTGGTTGCCAGCAACAGTTAAGAGTTTACAAAGAAGGAGTTGTGTTTTTGGTAATACTGGATATATTAATAAAAACAACCATTAGATGAATTATAGAGTATAGATTTTCAGGCAGTTACGCTACTTCTTTTTCATATACAGTAGGTTGAAACAACAACGGTTGCAGTTTTTCTATTTCACCAATTCACAAAGTAAATATTGTTTGCTAACCCACAGATATATGAGTTGCGATTTCACCCTTACACACCCTCACTGACACCAACTCAGGATAAATTGCTGTGTGGTATATTAACAAGAACACATTTCATGAGGTGGTATTGATTTCACATGGGGGAGTCTGGGTACACTTAACCCTCTCACCCACCCAGTCCATCTGTCTGCTCATAGTCTCCTTTAATCACTGTGTTGAGCCACATTGAGGGTGTCGGACAATTGGTGAAACTGTGGTCCGAGCCTTTTTGAAGCTGCCACACTGGAGATATATGAACGATGAGATAGGGAGAGAGAAATACTGCCCAGTTTGGACCTGTGTAGTGTGCTATCCATCTGTCTGAGCCTGGTGTGTGTGTGTGTGTTTGAGCGTGGGCAATTCTTTAAGTACTTTCTGTTCTTGTTTGTCTTGTCTCCTTCCATTTCCTTTTTTAAAATCCTTTTACATTGGTGTCTCTTCTGTGGTTTTCTCTCTTTGCTTTCTTTCCAAACGGGTTCCAGCTAAACAAGTACAACAAATACAACTGGGAATAACAGTGGGGAAATGGCAGCTTATTGTACCTTACAGATGTTTTCTTGAATTGAAAAACTGTTTTTCTTAACAACATAGTGGAGTTACTAGATACCCTATGTAACTTCATAACAAAATAAATGCATGTTTTAAAAGAACCTTCATTGAAAATTAAGTAGCATTTTCTAACTTTAATCAAGACTTTAATGCTTGGAAAAGTTTAAGGGCAGATGATTCAGTAAGTTGCATAATTTCTCACACTTTATGGACCTGATTTTTTCATTAGAAAAAACTTTTACATACCGTACTATTTTTAATCATACTGTTGCTTATGTCAACTGCTTCCTACCAACTCTGCTCTGCTTTTCTGCTATACCGCTCTGCTACCCATTGCTGTAACCTTACCCTGTCTCAGCCATCATGGTCCAGCCCTTTCTGTACTAGTCCTGTTGCATTATTACTCTATGTACAGATATAATATATATATTGCAGTCCTAGCGTCAAGATACGTGTGAGGACAGCTCACCCAACACCCATAACCCTGTCACCAACACTGAGCAGAATGGCTGCAAAGTACTTTGGTTCTACCAGTGAGAACATGGCGTCTCACCCTCCCTGGTGTGAATATGGAGAAATGTTGTGTGATTCAACAGGTGTAGAGGCTTAGCGTTACACAGGGACAGAAACAGTGTGTGTACAAATGCATGCCTTCTTTGAACGTGTGGCAAAGGGCAACACACATGCGAGCCATAGAGTGCGAACAATTTTGATGAATAATATCAGGGTGAAACAACAGCAGCTTCTCTGTCACTCACACATGCAGCGAGAGAGTATCGGCGCAAACCGAAGACCCTCCTGATGAGCTGTTTCAAACGGTGTAAGTCCTGCCAGAGTGCAGGGTGTGTTTTGGAAGATGCAGTGGGTTTGCTGTGCTGTGTGGCGTTCACTGCTGCATTAAATATAAATAAATGGTCAGTTCCTTTTTTTGAAACATTTGCAATTGCTGGACTAGATTGGAGAAAACAGCATCTGATCTCATTTTGTATTCTTTCCAGGCCATAATGCAATGCATCATGCTTTAACTGTTGTCCTGCAAATTATAGCTTTATAGCTAAAACAACACGAGGCCATTTTCACGTTCATTTTAACCCAGTTCTGTGGCTCAGAGCTCCACGAGCAGCTTTGTCACACAGCTGCTGTTGGGGCTGTCACCAGCATTTATCCTTCTAGTTTTGGCTCGTAGTCTGGTGCACATGTCGTTTGAGTACAAGAATCAAGGCTTGTTTACTCTCAAAAGATTAAAAGAGTGAATTGAATGAAACGATGCATGTTAGACCCTGAACCAGTCCCTCATTCGGGTCAACATGAATTTATTTTTAGAATGAATGAATTGATGAATTGAGTAGGGCTTGAAAGCGCTACTCAATTCAAGGCATTGGTTTCAGGTGAAATGTTTGCACTGTATACATACAACAGACTTCCTTTTAAGTTTTCCAGGTTTTTGATTGTTTTGTTGTGTGTGCCTGCGTGTGGCTTTGTGCAAATTTGTAATTGTCTACAGGAATGCAAGTCCTGGAGTGGAATGGTATTCTTCTGACGGGGAAGACCTATGAAGAGGTACAAGGGCTCGTCGGACAGTTGTGTAATGAGGCAGAAGTGTGTGTCAGACTGTGAGTATAACCTTTATCATGCTCTATCTTTCTCTCCTGCATTCTAATTTTAGCATGCCACACTCATCCTTCTGTTATGACACTCAAATTTAACTTTGATCCATCATCTTCCTAATCCAATCATTGCTTGTTTTATATTTCCTGCTCTTTTATATTTCTGTTTAAAACCCTGCTCTAGTCTATTTTCCAGTCATTGTCATGACTTTGAAAAGCTTAATTTTTCCATTAAATCACTCATTAAATTCTATGAAACATCAACCTTTAGAATGGAATAGAACCTAATCTCTCATTTTTTCTTCATCAACTGTATACCATTCTTCAGTTTTACATTTATTATTATTATTCTCTCTTTCTCCTCCGTTCTACATGAGTTTAAATTTTCAGAATCATATGACACATTTTTTTCCCCTGTATTTCAGTGATCTCAACATGCTGGCTGAGTCTGAAGTGTCTGAGCACCTGGATTTCCATGAGCACAGCAAAGGTGAGCTACAGTTATTTTGTAACTCCACCCGCAACATGGAATTCATGGAATCTCACTTTGCCCCCACCACCGTCCCTACCTTCTCAGTATTTCCAAATGAACTTATGTCTCTTGCAATCTTTAGACACTTCTCTCATATCGCTTCTACAATCGCCATCTACAGTTCTCACTTGTCTCAAGTTCGGCCATGCATTACTCATGGCCTATTTCTTTTTTATGTCTGCATTACACTGGAAATATTAGATTGTTCTCAGAAGAGCTACCACACTATACAGCCTTGATTTCCAACTTGAAGTTGATTTCTGTTGCCCTCTTCCTTTTGACTGTTCAATCTGTGTATTGCTGAAGAGGAGCAAAACATTTCTAATAAACTTTTCCTTTATAATTAAAAGCTAAAAACAGCAGTCTTGACTTTCTCTGTACTGTATGTTTTCATGTCTTTGCATGTGATTATGTGTGTGCCTTTGCATAATGATGCTCTTGGTTGTCTGGTGTCGCCCCTTCTAGGTGACAGACCTCCCAGGTCACCAGGTGTTGACCCTAAGCAGCTGGCGGCTGAGCTCCAAAAAGTGTCCCAGCAGCAGGCTCCCACCTCCACCTCTTCCTCCGGCTTGCCCGCCACCACCTCAGCACCTCCAGCCCCGGTCAGCCAGGATCACCCTCTGTCAGCAAGAAACGCCACAGCAGCAAGGCGAGTTCAGCTTAGAAAAGGTTTAGCATATTGTTTTTAAGAATTGATAGTGTTTGTCACAAATTACAGTTCATCCGAAAGAGTCCGATCATAACATTGAATTGCTGAACTTTCTAGTTATTCATATATCTGCAGTTTTAGCATTATAGTTTTAGCAGCATTATCATTCTTAAAAATAATTTCTTGAGACCTATTCATTGTATAGTATCCCATTTTCACAGTTTGAACATCTCTGGAATTTATTTTGTTTATACCAGTTCTATTAAAATCTACCACATTAGGTAGATTTATTTTATTATCAACTGAAATTTTTTATTATTTTAGCAAATAATTGTGACAATGCCAGAAAGGAACAAAAAACTAAGAATTCACCACTTGAAGTTTTTCTAAAATTAATATTAAAACAGATGCAGAGGTGAATCAATTTTGAGAGTTTAACTTGTAGTTTAGCCTCAAGCACTGCATAAAGCACAGCTCAGTACACTACATATTGTACCAGATGAACCCCCACCAGCAAACACAAAGTATCCACCTACAGATTTTTGCTAGCAGTATCTCATGTTGCTTTTATCTTTAACAGACTGCAGAGGTAACGAAGACTCCGTCCCACCCCATCTCTGGAGAGATACAGGTCTGTGAAACAAAAAGATGAGCGCTGTAATGTTTAAAATTCAATGTTGGTCTTTTAGATGTATTACTATAGGATGTGATCACAGTTAGTTTTAGGTTGTTTTTTTTGTTTTTTGCATTCTGTAATTGCAATTTTTGCAATTTTATGTTCTTAAAACTATGCATTTATTACACAGTTTTCAGTTTTCTTACATTGTTTTTCTCCCCAAATGCATATGAATCCATTGTAATTCCATGTGCTTCAATTTGCAGCTTCAAATCCACTACGACAAGCAGCTTGGCAACTTGATTGTTCACGTCCTGCAGGCCAGAAACCTGGTCCAGCGGGATAACAATGGCTACTCTGACCCATTTGTTAAAGTGTATCTTCTACCTGGGAGAGGGTGAGTCAAGGGTGTGGAAACTGCAAGCACACCTTGAGTAGTTCAGAACAGGAACAAGGTCATATTAGGATATGTGATAAAAGATGAGAAAAATGTTGTATCTGTAGCAATTTTGTTGAGTTCGGGAGATAGGTGTGTAAGATGTGACTATTTTTCTTTTCTTTTCTATTTAGTTTTCTGTCTTTTTCATTCGCTTTTAGAAAAGGAATTTGAGTGATCTACCTGCTTAGATATTTCCATTGACATCCAGGCTATAAACGCAGCCACTTTGTTAAGCTCAAACTTAATTTCCATTCATTTTAAAATCGATTTACAATTGATTTTGGCTTACCATGACATCTTTCAGTGTGCAGCACAAAACCTTTCTTTGGTATCAGTTCCATAGCACTTATACACTGAACATCAGGTCCATCAGATGGTACGTTTTATAATGCAGTTTGAGTGGTTTATGTGAAATGAACTTGTTCGCTTCATCAGCTGCTTATCGCTCATGAGTAACATAAACATTATGTAAATGATATGCAGTTGCTAGTGTACTTGTGTTGACGTTGCCCCTCTTGATGGGTGTTCTACTGTAGGTGTGAGTGCAGTCAAAATCAATAGCTCTTATATTTACTTGCAATACGATCCATGCTCCCTCATAAGTCCAGGGCTCTCTTCTCACTGTGATTGCTCTGTAATGTAATTGACTCTCCCACCTTCTCTGGTGTATGAGGTCCCTCGAGAGAGTGTTTTTTTCCTGGGATTGTTTCAAATAAAAGCAATGATGTATGGCTGTGGGCTTTGTAGCCGCCACTCTCTTCAGTTTGAAGCATGTGCAGATGGAAACCCCTATTGTAGGTTTTAGACAGAGTTAGGATTATTCTAAAGGGACTGGAAGAGTAGCACCCACAATCCCTGCAGCCGCCCTACTTAAAGTGGTTATGGAAACATGCACCGTTAAGCACATGTTTGCAAATACTCGTGTATATGCTACATGTGACACCCTCACAGCTATGAGAGCACCGACTGCAATCCATGCAGAGGCTTTTCAGTTGCATCACAGATCTCCTGGCAACCACATGGAGCTCCTGCAGTGAACCGGGTGGTTATAAATAATAGTATAAATAGTATGGTATATAAATAAACAGTCCTAGCGCCAAGATCTTTGAAATTCATTCATGTAACAAAGATTTTTTAAATGCAATCAGCTGTTCACTCGGGCCCATGAGCAGATCTCCTCTATGGTTGCCAAAGGATGCGTTACATCGCCTGAAAGCCCTCTCAACTCACATACACGCTAATCATGAAACACTAAACCGCTGCAGCACGCCACAGTTCCCTGGCCCCTTTCCCAAACACACACTAAATAAATTCCACAGTCAACCTAAACACAATGATCTCCCCTTCCCACATACACGCTCACAGTCCACAAGATCTCTGTTTGACCCCCCCACCCTCCCTCTGACTATTGTTTCTGTATGTTGTTCTCTATATTTAATGCATGCTGGACCCCCTCAGTCAGGTCATGGTTGTCCAGAACGCCAGGTATGTGAATTGCCCACTTTGGTATTTTGGTTCTGTTTTGGTTTAAATTTAGTTGTCAGTTTGGTGAAGGTAACTAAACGTCCAGGTTGTTTTCTAACTAATCGGAAGCTTATTGATACAAGTCAGTTCCACTAACTCCCTTAAATTGTGCATTTTCCGTGGTCCCCATATTCACATGATGTTCCACTCACCTTGAGGCTTTATCTCTTTGCATTGCATTGTAGAGGAACTCAATCTCTAATTATTAACACCTTCCCATATATCACATATAAACATATATTCCCCTGTACTGACAATTAACGTTTTCCCAGCTAACTGTTGTGTTTTCCTGGTAGATGGTCTGTTTTTGTTCCTAACACTGTACCTGATCCCGTTTAGTTTGTCCTTGTTTTGTGATTAAAATCCCTGAGTAATGCCCTACATCGTGCCCTGACATCCTACTGTACCCTTGATGCCTCGCCACATTCAATACACACTCCCATTATTTTGCTCTTCAGTCCTTATTCATTCCATTATTTTCCAATATACAGTAGATTGTCCTTGTCTTTACCAAACTAACCCTTACAGATACTCATATCCTGCAATCTTAAATCAAACCCTACACACTGCAAAAAGCATCCATCTTAACAAGTCATTCATTCTTTTTCAGTGAGTCTACTGTGGTGTATATTTTTCTTCACAACAGGGGAAATAATTAGTCAGCAAAATCAGATTATCCTGTTGTTTCTTATGCAAATTCATTTCTTAAGGACATTTCAAAAAAAGTTTTTTTCTTTTTTTGTTAAGTTCTTTCAACAAATTTAATCATAAATTAGTCAACCTCTCTTTCCAAGCTGGCCTACATTTTCCCTTGTTTTAGGCCATCAACATTTTATGAGACTAAATGACTTGATGGACATCAAAATGGAGTTTTTTGCAGCACACCCTGACATCGTACCCTGCCGTCCATGCACGTAGGCCCATACATTGTTACCGTCCAAACAATGTGCATCGCATTCATTCTCTCCCTTCTACTGTCACATTGTGCCCTATTCAACTATATTGTGCTGGCTGCATTGTAGTGGTCCACTAATCTGCCTGGCTTTTGTATGTGTGTAACCGAGTGCATCTTGTTGTGATGTGTTCCCCCCAGTGCTGAAAACAAGAGGAGGTCCAAACACGCAGGCAAGAGTATCAACCCGGAGTGGAACCAGACTGTCATCTATAAAAACATCCTCCTGGAGCAAGTATGTGGTCATACACACATTTCTCGCACATTCAATGTCACACACCTTTTCATGTGGTTAAAGGCAAGCACAGAAGCTGCGTGTGAACACCACAAACCCTGGGCATGTAGGGCACAAATAAGAGAACGCACACTGTGCCAAATTCCATGTTAAAATTATCCAAAACAATACAAAACATTGCTTTTTCTCTGCTGGCATTCTGACTAGCATTGTGGCCATTAGTTTTAGTAGACCAGATGGATATACCACTGGGATTTAATTGTATAATTTTAGATCCTGATATATCTGAATATCTATCAAAGCAAATTTGTGGACTTCAATTATCTATTTTTCTGTTGTAATGTCTGTTCCCACTTTAACAGCAGATAATATGTATTTTTCGTAGAGTTATTTTTTTTGCCATTATATTGTGCGCTCAGCCACGATACATGAACTCTTTAACTGTGTGTGTGTGTGTGTGTGTGTGTATCAGCTGAGGAAGAAGACCCTGGAGGTGAGCGTGTGGGACTACGACAAGTGCTCCTCTAATGATTTCTTAGGAGAGGTAAACCTCTATGACAGTATCCATATATTAACCGATAACCAATACATTTTTAATGCGCATGCCCATTAAACTGCCGTGTTTGCTCCCAGGTCCTTATAGACCTGTCCAACACAGCCCAGCTGGACAACGTCCCGCGGTGGTTGCCCTTAAAGGAGCAGAGCGAGGGGGATCACCACCGGCGCTCCCACTCAGGCCAGGGCCGACACAGTTCCTCTAAACCCTCCTCACTGCACTCCTCCCCTAAAACCACTGGCTCCTCACATGACAATCAGGATTCCCCAAAATCATCTGTCATCAAGAGCCGAAGCCACGGGATCTTTCCAGATCCGGCCAAGGGTAGGACGCAATGAAATTCCCTCACCTGCTTGACTTTATCAACACTATCCCCTAACAACCTTCAGTACTCTGCTGCTTCTGCTATTTCTGCTTCCCTCTTCTCTGTACTCTGTTTTTCTTTCTTCTTCACACTCCTCTTACTTTGTGCTCTCTTCCTGTAACTGTTTCTCTCGTCTGTTTCTTCCCACTATCTCGGTGTCTACCACTGTCCACTTGTTTCTCTCTTTGCAGTCTTTTCTTTATACCAGCACCTTCCTATGCCCATTTTTGCACACCAATCATAGCTTAAGCTTCATGCTTTTTGCTTTCTCATGGTCTGTTTTCTTGGTTGCCATGATGTCACCCAACTCAGAGGCCTAGCCTTAGCTTCCCTCTACCTTTCTTCTAACACAGAGGGCAACATGGCCGTGGAAGGCTTTGAATACTCCCTTAATTTAGAAATTCAAATTTAATGAGGATGCTTGAAGATCATAGACTTAACTAGGCAGTCACCATGCTGGCTAAATGGAGTTTCTCACCAGTGAGCTACTCATCCACCACAGGTGGAACACAAAAGGTAGCAGCCTGTAAGTTCACTAAAGTTAAAAATAGTTTTTTTTTGGTAATTTGGTGAATCTGGTTGTTTTAGACACGCAGGTGCCCACTATCGAGAAATCTCACAGTAGCCCTGGCACATCGAAGCCTTCCCCGTCCGAGGGCCAGAGCCAAAGCCAAAGCCACAGCCACGGACACAGCCAACACTCTCGCTCGCACGGTGCTTCCCGCTCCAGCAAAAGTGCTGCACGGCAACACCATCAGGACAGCGGCACTGGAAGCGGCAGAGGCGCTGCCATAGCAACGGGCGATGCCCCACAACAGTCACAGCAGCAGCAGCAGCAGCCGCCGCCGCAACGCCTCCAACCAAGTAAACCAAGACGCAAATAAAGCCTACGCAGCATGGCCTCCTCGCACTCATCTGTTCTACCTTCTGTTGAGTTCTTTTTTTTCTGTTCCTTTAGTTTGCTTTTCTATTCTTGGTTTCCCTCACCCTTTACACCCTCCGGTCCTCTCCCCTGTTGTATTCACAATGTGTCAACCTCTCACCGCTTCTCTTCTTTATGTACTCACAAGTGTGTAGAGCCAGCATCTCACCTGTACTGTAACATACTGTCTTCGACCTTCTTAAGTTTGACCCTTTTTCAATGAACCCAAAGAGGCATAATGGTTGATTGTTAAAGGCCAGTTCTAACTACTTTAAAACCTATAACTATTAAAAAAGTAGACATGCTATAAATCTTATTTTTTAATAGAAATAATTACTTTTACATATGTAGTAAGTAAGATTTTGCTGTTTTGAATAGTAATTTAAATACATTAACTTTACTTAGGATGAGTAGAAGGACGACAGTAAGGAAAAAAGTAAAATCTGAAAACGAAGAGTTGCAGGACATATTCTAAAAGAAACAAATCAGCAAAATCTGTCAATTGGTATGAGAGCACAGTGACATCTCCTGCTCTCTCAAATGACGAGACCAGCCAATTATAAATTTGTTGCTACAAGTTCAGTTGATGGTGCACTGGGTAAAAGTTTATGCTTTCAAGAGAGGTTTCTGCTCTTCAGCTAGCGGTTAAACATTTTGGATTTAGTGATCCACGCAGTAAAACAGAAGAAAGTTGCAATTCCTTCCCCTCCCTAAAATATCATTAACCTCTTTTGGTTTTTTAATTTACTTTTTGTTAACAACCAACGACCAGCTTTTCTGAAGCTCCTCCACTGAGATGGCTGTGCATGCAGTCCGCTAACCCCCTTTTTTGTTTGAACAACTACCGGACCCACAATGCACCTCAGTAGATGCTGCACACACCGCATCTTAGAGACATGCGGGAGGGGCAAATGTGCACTGCACACTGTGGCTGCATGTGATTGACAGTCAAGCTGGTTGCCATGGTGAAGATGAACCACTCTCTGAATCTCCATCTCGCTCCTCCCTCCTTGCATCTTAAACTGCGAACCCTATGACCTTTTGTTTCCTGGCGTTGATCTCCTGACATCTGACCTGCGCCTGCGAAAAAAACACACATCCAGGCCAAAGAGGCCGCCTCTCACTGAGGCACCAGAGACACAGCGTAGTGGGCGTGCTCACCATTCAGAGAGCCCAGTCCGATTGGCTGCCTGCCCTGCCATCGGTTGTGTCGGCCAAAGGGAGCAGAGCAGACGGCAGACACCTGACCCTCAGGAAAGCCGTGTCAGAAGAGAGGCCGCAGAGCATCGGAGGTGAGAGTTTGCCCAAGAGTCTCCTCTCTGTCATGTGACTGAAGCACAGACGGAGCAAGGAGAGAAAGAGAGAGTGAGAGAAAGAGAGGATGCGATACTACTAACGCACACCTGCAGAAAGAGAGAGGGGAGTCTTACTAATAAAAGAGCCAGAAACACAGAGAGAAAGTTGCACTCAGCCACATCACCAGAGATTCATGCAGCGAGACACACTTTCTTAACGGCCACCGACACAGTTCACTAACACCAGGAAATGAATGTCTCACACTGTCATATGATTCACTGAGAGTTAACAACACTGTGCCACTGCCACATCTGTGGTGTCATGACTCCCCCATTGCTTCATTGAACTGGCATTAGTGAGCTTTTGTAATCAGACAAGGCGTTGAGTGGCCCGAAAGAAAGATGCGTCGACATGGATCCTGTTTTACACCACATCCACGCATCTCACGTCATCCATACTCTTATCACACGTCTGATCAGCTGTTTGAGAAGAAAATGTGGAAGTGTAAAACATTTAAACATGTATTTCGTGTAAGTCTAAACATCTAAAATATGTTTTCAAAAACATTTCTGTAAAAACACTCATAAACATCCATTAAATTCCTCCAGATATTAAACTATATTCATGTAATTTGATTCATGTAATTTTAAACTAAACTAATTCTGAGATTGAGATAATAGATTATTATTAATAGTTCATATAGATGACTAACAATGTCAGTAGGGTCTACGTGCCTCTTGTTTGGTCTTCTTTTGCGTAAACATATATATGTGATATTTCTCTCGGTTTATTTGTCTGTTTCATGTTAAAGCTTTATATGTGAGTTCTGACTGTCTTGTCCTTGAGAGGAAGATTCTAAATACACTGTTTGTTCATATGCTTCTTGCCAGTCCTCAGTGTTTGTGTGCTGTTCATTACAATACAGTCCTGTGTGCTTTGAATAAGCTTCCCTTTTGACTGCGACACAAATTTGGAGTATTAAGTTGATTATGATGGATTTTAGTTGCTGCAGATATTAACTAATGCTTCTTGGCCCTAGTTTTTACATTCTTGGACTCGGCAGAGGTGCAATTTTTCTTCCTGTCTCTTTGTCGTAATGGGTGTGGTCGTATTTCTGCACAGCTCGGTCGAGCCACAGATCCAGTGATGCCCCAGTCACAGCAGCCTCACTGGACAGCGGCCTGAGTGGCAGCGCCTACAGCCTATTGGATGAAGACGGAGAGACAAACGAGGTGGACAGTGCCATCTTCCAGGTTCCCCGATTGTGAGTCAGCTTATTTTGTATCTTAAAACGCCTCTGTTTCACATTTTGAATGTGTTATAATTGTTCATTTGATGCTAAACTACTGCTTTCACTATGCCCAAACACCTTCCCCCAGTCAAAGCTGAATATATACAGTGGAATATATTAAACTGCTGTGTAGTTTTGTAATTTCCCGGATTCCTTTCTCTTTAGTGGAAAGATCCCAAATGGCACAGACGGGATGAAATCATCTATGGGACACAGTGACACTGAAGGTTAGACACACACTATATGTATTATGTGTGTGTATATTCAGAATTGTTTGTCTTGATGCCTTGTAGTTTTAAAAACCTTACGCTAATACATCTTTAGCATTTTAGGGCTGAGTAAGTGATCATGATTTTAATATAGTAAAATAACATTACTGATTTAGTGGCTATTTATTTTACATTTTTCTTTTCCTATTTATCTTCTTCTGTTTCTGTTGCAGGTATTGAAATGTTTATGTTATACTTAAGTTTATGCGTCATTCACATTATATGTAGACTTATTAACTAATTAACTTTCACGCCACTTTCATCAATCTGTCCTTGCTGATTTTCCTCATTTCTCCTTCTTGCCTGAGAAGTTTTGAGTCAAGTAGATATGACAAATGCACAGGTGCAAAGATGACCGTAAAAACACCAGAGACCTGAAGTTTGTTATTTCGCTTTCACACTTACAACAATGTGTGAGACTGAATATAGATACACACACGAATTAACATTTATTCTTATCCACATGCTTTTTTCAACTTTTTAATCATCTGCTCTCTGTTATTTCTGTCTTTTTGTGTCAACATGTCTCTCTTTTCTTACAACTAAATGCCTTACCCTTAACCTTAACCTAAACCTAATTCTAACCTAAACCAAGTCTTAACCTTCAAAGAATTGTGTAGTGGTGAGGGCAGCTCAAACTGTCCTCACAGTCCAGAAATGTCCTCACTGCGATGGTTTGAAATGGAAATTGATCCTCACAAAGATACAAATACGAGCGAGCGAGCGAGCACACACACACACACACACACACACACACACACACACACACACACACACACACACACACACACACACACACACAGGCTATCCTTACTGTGTGCCAGGGACTTGTTGACCCAGCTTTCAAAACTGTCATATCCATTCAGTTACTAAGGCAACCAGAGGACAGGCAGAGCTCTTCATAACTTCTCCCCGTCCTTGTTAAACAAATAAATGTGATTGCTTTCAGGCCATGTTTGATATTACTCATCACGCGAACAATCCAAATGTTTCAAAGAGGGAGTGAGAGAACAGAGACACAGTGGGAGCAAATTGATAGAACAGGCATTGAACATTTGGAGCTGAGAAATAAACTCAAACCTATATGTGGGCTATATTTCACAGTGCCTGGCTGATTCAATTTGTGTGTGTGTGTATTCCCAGGTAAGTCCCAGGTAATGGGGGAGATAAAGATCGCTCTGAAGAAGGAAATGAAGACGGAGGGCGAGCAGCTGGTCCTCGAAATTCTTCAATGTCGCAACATCACCTACAAGTTCAAGACTCCAGACCACCTGCCTGGTAATGGAAAGTAACTATACATGTGACAGCACACATGCACCCATTTACATACATGCATACATACAAATAAGTCACTTTGATAAGGTCTCAACTTGTAGGACTCAAAAATGATATCCTTAAACCTTCTGGTTTATTATTTGCACTTACATTCACTTAATTCTCTTCACAGCATTCAAAGACAATATTATGTGATACATGTCCTTGTTAACATTTTGACAGCTTGGAGGCCCACACAGACACTTGTTTACAAGGATTGGCATCTGACATACCACAGTATCCTTGCCAGTTTTTTTAGATGCACAACCACAGGTGTTGTGGTAGTGTTTTCCAGCCAACATTCCCATGGAATGCAGCATTGGGAATATTTTTTAAATATTCAGTAATATCCATTTGCGTGGTTAAAAACGCCATTAAGATAGGAATATGTCACAGTAAAGACTCCCAGATATTTGAAAGTAAAAAACAATATGTATTTGTTACATTTAATGGCTAGAATACATCTTGCTTGTCAATTTTTTTTTCGGTATACAAACAGTTTCATCAATACTATTGTATAATAAAGTTATAAATTAATAAGTGACAAAAATCAAAGCTTTATTCGTGGAAAAGGGTAGTGCTTAGTACAATTTATCTCTATTTTACAGTTAGAAATAGCAACCCATGCCCAGAATGCCACTTTGGGTTAACACCCAGGATGAAATTGTATGTCACATTACTTCTTGTAGGATAGAAAACTAGCAGCACCCTGAGTCACAATGTCTACTGCGGTATGTATATACAACATTTTTTAGACTGATTACATGTGAACCCATCTTTTTGAATACTGAACAGACAGTCTGGTACAAAATCAGACTTTTCCCTCAATATAATGCAAATTGCCACCCCCCTCTTTTAATATTTACATCCTAATACCCACGCAGTCTGCCACTTGTTTGAGTTGCATTTGCTTCCAGATGGGACCTGCACATAAAGGTTTATTTCCATTGACAGTATGTAGCTGCTCTAAAGTACAGAATGTGTAGCAGTGACTCGTAGCATTAACACTTACTATTGGTGTCTATGTGCATCTGTGACTAAAGCTGGTTTGGGTGTTTGGATGTATCTTTAGAGTTTGTTCTCTACATGTTAACTGGCCTTGGCTTTCTCAACAAACACCAAAAAGTCTTTGGAGCTACAGCTCTCTTATTGCCCTCTAGTGGCTGGCTGCAGAAACAGTGAAACTCCACCCATCTCCAATATTAATGACCAAAAGCATCTTAAACATGAAAATATATATATATATGTATATATTTTTTTCTTTATAGGTGCTATTACAAATTAGATTTCCCTCTATGGATAATTGTTTTTATAATAAATATGTTATAAGGGTTAAGAGAGAAGATAAGTGCTTGTGTTTAGGTTGTGTGTTTGCATAATTCTGCTGTATATTTATGGAAATTGTTTGGTTGGGGTTTCTTTTGTTTTACTTTACTGTCATTTAACATTATAAACATAACAAATAGCAAAAGAATACACAGACAGTAGGTTAAATATACCGTATATGTAGATAATGTACCAAATGGATATATATCATGAAACAAAAACTGTTATATAAAATTTGAAACATTATACAAGACACTAGCAGTTGAAAGGACACCAGAAATGACACATTCATAGCAGTATGATATCAGCTTTACATTTTTGTGTGCGTTCGTCCACAGATCTGTATGTGAAGCTCTATGTGGTGAACATCGCCACCCAGAAAAGGATCATCAAGAAGAAGACCAGAGTGTGTCGTCATGACCGCGAGCCATCATTTAACGAAACCTTCCGCTTCGGCATGAACCCCACCGGACACTCTCTACAGGTAAAGTTAATCCCAGAGTCCCTAAACATGCATGCAAACAGCAGGATGATAGCTAAATACTTTAAGAATATATACAAGCTGTAATCCTCCATACACCAACAGCTAAAGAAATGCTTATTATTTGAATATGGTTATTTGCTTTTTTCATCATTTCTGTTTCTGATGGCAGAGGCACCTTACCCTCTGCCATCGGTGTATGAGTGTGATGTAGAGTAACGGCATGGTTGGAAAGAATATAAAGTGCTATACAACTACAGACCAAATGACATCCTGCTTTCTGTTCTTTTCACACCAGCTGTTCCTGGTGTCCAATGGTGGCAAGTTTGTAAAGAAGACCCTCATTGGCGAGGCCTACGTTTGGCTAGACAAAGTCGACCTACGCAAGCGAGTGGTGAGCTGGCACAAACTTCTTGCCAGCACCGCCCAGATCCACTCATAGAACGAGTCACATTCTAAAAAAAACTAAACCTAACATGGCAGGAAGAGGTTTCTGGCATCTAAGGACACTTAGCTTCAACATCCCAATCTGGGTTGGAGAAAAGGGTTGTTTGGGTACAGGAGGGGCAGGGCTTGGATATTTAGAGTTTTTGGAAGATGCTTTCATTCGTACGCAAAGCTCTGATGATGATTTCTGTCATGCGGGAAGTTTGGAGGAAGTGGTTATGTGTTTACAGGGAATGCACACCAGTTTACATGAAGTACAGTAGTGTTGCCAGGGCTGTGGTCAAGCGCGGAATCAACCAGGTATTACACACTTTTCACAACACATACACACACACACACACACACACACACACACACACACACACACACACACACACACACACACAATTATTTACGACAACTTTGCACACAGTCATTCACTCAGAAGAGAAATTTTAATTCTACAGGGAATGGACACACTTAGATGATTTTCCTCATTGCTTTATTATGACCGCAGAGTTTTATTGATTTACAAAGCATTTAGGAAATGAAATATTGAAGACTCCGCTATGGAGACCTCTTATTTATTTTTGTATTATGACATTAGAGTTTTATCATTTGTCTTCTCTTCAATTATTTAACTACATAAAAATCTATCATGGGAAGGAAGCATAGTATATTTTATAACACACTACCTAGCATCCCAGTTCAAAAGAAAAAGAAAAATCTCAGCAAGCATGATTTTAGATTTAGTAACAAAACCATCTCCTTGTTCACTTTGGACCCCACCTTTTCGCTCCGTAAGTGTAAACTTAACTGAGTTCTATCATATTATGTCTATTGTTTGATAAAGGATCAATATTAAATAATTGGAAAATCATATGGACACTATATATTGTGTGCATGAGTTGATCTATTTGGTATGCAGTGCCACATGTTCTGCACAAAACAAAATCACCTCTTAGATTCACTTTGTATATAGTGAAGTGTCATAGCTGGAAATTATTATAACATATATAGATAGATATATAGATATCTTTATCACAGACAATCGAGTCTTGATGATTGTGACATAGAGGTTTTATTTATCCATGATGCCCCTTAAAATGTGAGACATTTACCATGTTTTTTCTTTGAGATCCTTCTTTAAGAGTCTTATATCAATCCTGCTTTTGTTCGTAGGAGCAGTCAGCGCACGCTTTTGTGGTATTTTGCACTTTTTCTGCTTAGAATGTAAAACCTACGTCATTATCCTGCTAAAAATGAGGTAGCCGCAGATTTTCTTTTCCAAGGGGAGGAAGTAGAGAGGTAAAGCAAAGTGATAACAATATCAGGAGATATTGAAGCGAACAAAAGACAAATGTGCCGGAAACTATCCAAGAAAAAACACTATTACTGTTCTAAGATACGACAATGCTATTACAGTAGCATGTTAATGTTTTGTCCCAGCTTTTTTGTCATATCTGTGTTGTCATTATTACTTACACGTCAAATAGTCAATGTTGTGTCTTTAAAAAAGCTATCTATGTCTTGAGAAAGGTATGTTTGTATGGGGTTCAAGAGGCATGACAGCTGGTGCATTCAGCATTTTCAAACTTAGCAGTGAAACTACATTTAATATCTGGGGGATTTCTATGCAACATCTACCATATGAAGGTGGTAACTGCATCTTGACGTGTGAGAAATGTGACACTTTGTGGCAGAGGAAACATTTGTATTGATTTTTCTTTTGCACTGCCATGTTTTCATGTCCTTCATGAAATGGTTATTCCTTTATTTATTTATTTTTGTTATTTAACGTGTTATTTTGTATTGCTATATGAATCTTTATTTATTGCCTGTGAGACTATTTCATATGTTGTATTATATTTGTTTACAGTACATATCAGTTGTACATAAAAGAGTTGAGAAATTTTGTTTTTATACACAATGCAGTGCTTGTTTACAAGGTTTAGAGGGCCTGAAACTCAGAGAACCAACGTTTTTTTGCCCTTGTGCACGAATACACATTCACATACGGAAATGAACATGCACAGATCCCGAATTTCACACGGCTGTGAATCAAGATTAGAAAAAAGAACATTGCTATTTAAATGATTCCCATCTTTTTATGCACTCCCACTTTGAGTAGTTTCCTTTTCCAGTATGTGTATGAGACATGACCAAAAACGACAACATTGTAATCAGTCGACATTATACCTGAAATGTTAATAGATTTAAGGTCAGTGCGTTTTATTTTTGTTTTTCTTATTTTTATACCCATGTGCTTGTGTGTGTAGCATCTTTGTATCACGTCCATGCATGTCGTTGGCTGTAATGCATATCACTTCTTTTAAGTGTTGTCTGTCTAAAAATATCAACCTTAAAATCTCTCGTAACACACAAGGAATTACACACGTGTACACACACACACACACACACACAAACACAAACACACAAACACACAAATGCCATCTCTCTAATTCCAACCTTGTAAATACATTTTTATACTGGGGTTTGGGGAGCAATAGGTCTTTTAGCAGACAATAAAAGGTGTGTGATCATAGAATTTAAAGGAAGTTGTTTCTCTCTTGATCAATGTACAGTGGATAGACTGAGAAACGACCTTATGTCTGTCTATAGGGACCCAGATTCACCAGACCCTTTACACCAAACGCTAAAGGTTTACCAGAGTCTAACTACACAGAAGTCTATCTTAACAACTCAAGCCGTTGCAGGAGAATTTAAATGTGCTCACACTGGATGTTGCATGTTTCGTTGGTGGTTCATACTATTTTTGTGTCCAGATATTATTAAAGAAAAAAAAATGATGTAGAGAAAGATATAGAACAAAGTGTTACAGAGGGTGGACATTATGAAGAAAACCTATTAAAACTATTGATGATGTATGCTGACTGTACAAAGATTATGCTTGTAAAACCTGTCTGGTTTTTCACTTGTAAGTAAACAGAAAAAATAATCTACTGTCATGGTTTTGTGATTGTATACAGGAGGTATTGAAAAATTATGCAAACTGTGCTGTAAAAATGGCTGTTGCCCCATGTCTAAATATTAAATATCAGTAAAAATTAAATGTTGTTGTGTATTGCCTTTAATATATAATGGATATTGCATTATTGATCATGACACAGTTTTATTTTGAACAATATGTGTTTATTTGGGGTCATCTTTACTTTTCATAGCTGGTTTTCAAACTAAGTGAAATGAATGATGGAAAGCGAGAGAATATAACCACAAGATGGTGCCATGTGCTTTTTTAATGAGCAGTGTCAAATGAATTACAAGACTATGGTAACATCCTTATGGGGCCTACACACCTCTTCTCAAGACTGTATGTATGGGTGTGTTGTGTTTGACAGCTCCGCTCCTGTGGCATGTCTCCATTAAACTTAAAGGAGGTCTAATCAGCACCTGGTGTGTGTACAGGGCCTTTATGTCCACATATGTTTTTCCATTAGTTATTTGCAGCTGACATTTTGACTTGTCATAGTAGGGAAGTGAACCTGCATGCAAAATACCACAACCCTGAAACTGAAGCTAAATGAAATTCAGCCATCATTGATTGTAATATTTACACCTGTGCTTTTCCTACTGTGATATGTGGCCCTTTTGACACATTCTGTGGACAGGCTTCCCTCTGTAATCTCACCTTGCTAGAGCATGAAGAACCGAGTCAATTATTCAGATTCAGTTCACCTGCTCTGACTGATTATCTCACTGGTAGAAGTTTTCTTTTCTCTCCCCGGCTTCCACTCTTGGTTTTGTTTGTTTGTTTGTTTGTTTGCTGCACCACACAAAATCCCAACATGTTGTGGGTAGTTTTACCCACAAAAGTCTGTAGCAAGCAGTAGGCTATAAAGTATACTGTGAAATATAAAAAAAATAGATTCAACAGAATGAATTTAGTCTAATTTTCTTTGGTATTCCTGTCACATATGTGGGATATGCCATTCAAATAGGTGAGTAACTTTACTAGTGCTTTGTCAGTGGATTTGGTGTGGCTGCCGTGTCCCTGTTTAAAAGGCTGTTATCATTTCGGGGTCAGGTCGCCGCTGAGCACCTGTTTGTGTCAATGTGCTTGTGGGTATTAAACTGTGTGTGCACCTTAGCTGGCCTGTTTTCAGGACATGGTGTTGTTTATGACTAGGCCACTTTTCTTTCTTATTCACCATAATGTCTTGCCTCTTTGTCGAAGAGGAATGTGGTTGCCATGATTCATGAGGTTATTGTAGGCTACTGAAAAGCCCGAAAAGGGCTGCCTGATTTCAGCACAGTGGACACATCCCCTGCACTCAGCTGTTTATAGTGACGTTTTCTGTATTTTGACAATGACAGCACTGGCCATGCTCCTTATGACTTTGACTTCTGTATTTTGTCCAGGCACACGCAACAGAGCCACAGCAGCAGTGTGTGTGTGTGTGTGTGTGTTGGACAGAGAGCACATAAAGAGAACTGTTGAATTTAATATTTTAATATGGAAAGAAATCGATTTAAGGAACTTTAAATTAAGTACGTTTGGTATTTACTGCATGTAATCTTATCAGCTGTTAAACCGTGCAAGAGGAAACAAGGCACACAAATTTGCCCGTATAGGGTTCACTTGCAGACACGAACGAAAGAAGCATTTCCCACTTTTGACTACAGATACAAAACACAATTATGCTAATAACATACATACATACATAACACTTTACACTACTAATAATACTCAGTATATTTTAGAAACGTATACAGAACAAAGCTATGACAAGTACAATGTCACTGCATAGCTACTAAGTGCCGCTCTTTCATCCACGATGTCGCGGTTAGCATTGCTAAAGGCTAATTTGGTTAGCTTACTCGTCATCATGTAATTAACGTCCTAACTTCACAATGTTCGACTAACTGTACTAAAAACACTCTTCTCGACACATGTACACATTCACATAACACTCTGGTAAACAATAACACTTATTATAAAAGACTCATACCTGAAAAGGGGAGTAGTTGAATGAAAGAAGATGCAGAGACACAAACTTTCCTCAGGTCATGTGTGTAATGACTGAAGGGAAGGAGCGAGGTGCACCGTAACATAACTCAACAGTTTTACTTTCCCCCTGCTGGAGCCCTCTAGTAACTACAACACTCTTGTTCACACTTACGCTGCTGTTGTTAAAATGACATTTTGCACATGAAAACTAAGAAAAGTACTCTACTGTTCCTGCTGCAACTAACAATAACAACTTTAACCATAACATATGATATACCATTAAAATATGAGAATGGCAAAATTACTAAATATGAACCCATTAATTGTTAATCTACTGCTTACTCAAATGCTTGCTATGACTTACTAGTAAAACACATTATTTCCATCTGTCACATTAAAGTGGTTTAAATCTGTGTGTCATTAGTCCTTAACCTTGGTACTCCTAACATGGCAGTGCATATTTGTGTAGGATGAGTGGACAGCAAAGGACATCTTAAAGTCATTTGAGAGACCAGTAGTGGAAGGACACACAATGGTAAAAAAAAACAAAAAAAAAACATTCACTTAAATATAAAATACAATCTGATATTATCTGACAATTTGACCCAACCCACACATATTCATGAACTAGATACTGGATTGCAAATGGAAAAAAAGGATAATTTCACAACATAAAATAACATTTACAACATTAATTCTTTGGTCAATTTTAATATGCCACAGATGATTGGACAAGATCATTGAAAATATTTGTGTTACATGTCATTTTCTTTTTGTTAAAACATTTGGATGGAGTTGTTTTTTTCATATTTTTCTCAGCAGTGATGGAAGGTTAGCTCTAAAAAAGAACCAATCTGAGAAAATACAAGCTCGCAGAGAAGCCAAGTCGTTTGTAGAAATGAGCAGCTGATTACTGTCCTGTCCTCAAGTCAAACATTGTTTTGAGAACCAGCTTCCATTGGATAGAGACAGCTTTGAAATATAAACACACAAGTTGGCTTGCAGTGTGATCAGGGATTTATCAGATATGAAGCCATAGTTGACAATTGTGTCAAGTCATAAAGAATGTGCCTGTAGCCATGGTACACAAGCAGCTGATGTAATGCTTGATGAAATAAAATGACGCTAATGAAAAGGAATTAATTGTTACTCTGAGTTACAGCCAATGGCTTTAAAGACTGGACATGTATTATTTATTTTCTAAGTTTGTCATGTGTTTAAATTAAGTATCTTTGGATAGTATTTTCACCTGATGATGATCTGTAGGCTTGAAAAACATTCTGCTGCACTGAGATCATTAGTTTATTGTTCTGAGCTATATCACAGGTCTTGTCATCACCCATTTTGCTTACATGTTCATGCAACGCATCGCATAACTGAATGGAGCTTTGATCCAGGATAATCTTGCATAATTACACATCTTAGTGCAATCACAATTTTGTTATTTTGATTAATTTCTACTTTCATTCCTTATCTTCTTCTCTGTTGTCATACTTTTCCACACCATTTGTACAAGTTTAAAATACTAGTATGCTGTATTGATCTAAGTTTAAATATAAATATTTCACATTTTGTCCTTGAAAGCTTACTTTTTATAACTGTTTACTGATGTGAGCTCAGATTTAACGGTCAGATGCTCATTTCACACTTGTGAAATGTATGGCCTATTCATAAACAATATCCATATTCTATTATATATTCTTCTACTGTATTTACAGATTATCTGCACATCTGCATTTAAAGTTTGGGTTGAAATATGAATGCCAGAATTGTGTAATAACATGTATATTATTCTGCCTGCAGGGGGAGTGAGAAACCCATTTTTAAGAGTCACCCAGTGGTCTCTTTCTTTGATGATTTCTTTTAGACCTTTGACTCCATGTCAAGAACATGAAACATTGAATGCCTAAATGCATTTATGTTTGTTGATGCACTTTTATTTTCAGATACAGACTGAGAGACAGAGAGAAGGGCAAGAAACGTGTGCGTGTTTGTGTTTGTGTGTGTGGTGTGTATTTGTGTTTACAGACAGTCTGTGGTATTGTGTGTCAGCACCTGCTGGGTGACTCTGCAGCTGCAACTACAAACCACCTGCTTCTGCCTGCTGTATCTGCCACAAAATAAAAATGAGTTGGGGAGATTTATTTAAACAGGCCTCACACCTCAGCAAAACCTTTTCATCAACCATCCAAAGGATTTTTACTGCACATTATTAAGCCTGTACTTCATCAACCAAGGACTAGTAATCTGTTATCATCCTGGAACCTACTTGCACTCAAAAAAGAAAGCTGTCATTAATCGTATGAACAGTGTTTAAGTAAGGTTTCTGTATAAATATACAGTAACAGAAAACCGTAGGTTTGTAAGCAAAATGACATCACAAGAGATGAAATCAAATTATTTCTTCAGCATTTTGAAAGGGGGATAACATGTGACAAAGGTCATTAATATGTAATAGTTATATGATACTTGACTTAGACCACTGGTGCACTATAAAACCAACTGTCTGTTTTTTAAAATACCATAAAGTATCAAATGGTTGGCTTGCTTAACCCTACAAAACCAAGCCCAAACCACTGCTGTGAAAATCCTCAGTGGGTATCTGTGCCTTTAAAAAGCCTCAGAGGAACATGGATCCACTTTCACCATTTCAGAATGAAGTCTTGCAATTCAGTTCATTTAGTTGATTTGCTTTGCCTGCTTTCTATGGTGATCAACAGATGCTTATCTGTTGTGTGAGACCCTATGATGACTAATGTTGGGGCCTCTTCATCATGGTTGATGATTTGGTGTAATTATAATCTTTGCATGGACACCTGTTGCAGATACCATGCATGGCTGTGATAGCTGTATAGGGCTTATTAGGCTGCAGTGAGTCTCAACTGTACTTTTAAATAGAGTAAATATTTTAAATATAGAATAGCGCTCTGAGGTCTTGCCACATGCTATATTCAGAAAGTTTGTCATCTCATCAGGATGTATTCCAGTATTCAGAGTTGCATTGCATTATGCTGAAGAGACTTAATTATTTACTTACTTAATTTAAAGATATTCTGCATATTAAGTCTTAAACAGAACAGTTCGACATTTTGGAGAATTTGCTT